ACCTAAAAAAAACAAAAATGAGTAACTTATGTTTTCTTCCAGACTATCCTTCACATCTAAACAAAATTTAATCGAAATCTGTTCAGCCGTTAAGGCTACAAACTCTAACAAACAAACATCCATCCATCCATCTAAACTAAACTTTCACACTTATATTATTAGTAAGATATCTTTTGTACACGACTTTGTTCTAAATAATTAAAAAATAATAGCCTATATATTCATCCAGACAAAGTCCCACATGTACCAAATTACATCGATATCCATTAAACCATTTCGGTGATACCTAGTAATAGTCCATCTATTTAAATTTTCGCATTTATAATGTCTGGCTCACACTTAGTCACTATAGTTGGTTCGACTGGCTTAATGTGAACACTGACTGGCTAGTGTGTCCATAAAATCCATGCCTGGCCTGCGATACTGTCCTACTTTATTGACCAAGTGTGAACCATTAGTCTCATCAGGTGACGTCACCAGAAATGTTTACAGTACTTTTAACTATGTTCGACTAAATTAGGCACCTTTATCAATTTACTTATTGACATTTTTACATACAGGAATTGTTGACCGACTTCCCAAAAGTAGGAGGTATTCAATTCATCTGTATGTTTTTTTTATGTGTGTTACGGCATAACTCCGCCCCTGGTAGACTGATTTTAATTTTTTTTTTCCGAAAGGTAGTGTTTGTTAATTTTTTGTATTGCTATAGGTGGTTTTGCCTCGCTTGTGATATTCGCTATTAATTCCGTATGTGTGCAGGCTGGTGGAGGCGTGCAAGCTGCTGAACCTGGACTACGATGATGCGCGGCGGCTGCGCTCGCTGCTGATGCAGAAGCCGGAGGAGGCGCAGCAGATGTCGGAAAGCCTCGGCCTCTCGCAGCTCGAGCCCAAACACGCGCTGCGCATCCTCAGCCAGAGGACGGACATCAGGGACATCGTAGCGCCCCGCTCCGTGCTAGAACTCTTCTGAGAGTTAGAAGGAGGGGGCATTTAATTTGATATCGTATCGAAGTTAGAGCAACACTTTTCATTATAATAATAATAAATTCGTTTATTTGAAAAAATACATTTACAAAAGTTTTAAACAGGTTTATGTTATGGGTATTATGTTTGTTAAGTTTCAGGAGGTTGTAGAGAACGGTCACTTCATGTAATATGACAGACTAGCTTTCGCCCGCGACTCCTACCGCGTGGAATTAAAAAAGCGAAAGTCAGTAGCCTATGTAGCCGTTTTCTTCAAACTCTAACAAACATCCATCCATCCATCTAAACTTTCACATTTATAATGTTAGTATGATGTAGTACGTTGCAAACAATTAAAACAAAAAAGTAGCGTCAATTTTTTTTGAAAAGTTAATACTTTTCACGTCACTACGTCATTTTGTATGAAAGATAAACTCTCCAAGCGAGTTTTTCGCACAGAACGTGTTCAAAGAGTTTTTAGTTACAAGGCGTGTGGACATTTTATAAATCATTAAAAACTTAAACATAAAAATTAAGTTGCAATTTTTTAAACGGATACCTATGTGTTGCTCTTGTCGGTTGTAGGTAAAGATGGATTAAGCCTCCTCCTTTAAAGTAGTAAGTCGTTTAAACGCAACATCATTTGTTATTTTAATATTAATGTAGTAATATGGATAAATAGTACATTAATGTGTAGTCGGATTCAATTGAAATGAGAACTTTTAGTCACATGACACTGGCTGAAAATGTCAAGTCTATGGATTTGTGGAACGTTTCGATGTTGAAATTATGATACGATCATGTCTGTTTTTAATAAGTCTGTGATTACAGCCTTATAAAGGTAAAGTTGTTTAGATAGGTTTGTTATAATTTCTCATTTCCATTGAATTCTTTATTTTTTAAATTATATTCTTAACTTATTTGTATGAAATATTGATGCATAATTGTATTTGATTTTGTCTATGTATTTTGGTATGGTACGTCAGTATTTAAGATGTCTTAAAGGCTTTTGTATTTTGTTTTATGTTATTTTTGTACATTTTATGTTGTTGATTTGTCAAATTTTTATATAATTTTATTGTAAAAAAATAAAAATACTTGTTCATTTGTTTATTTATTTACTTTGTATTTAACAACAGTATTTAATATATGTAGTGTATACAAAATGTAGCCTATTATCTCACGTATAATCATAAATTAAGACTAAAGCGCAAAAATGCTTAATAACAATATATAAATTATAACTTGTAACGTTTTACACTCGACAGACTTCAATGGCACAAACGCGCGCTGAAACAATCACAATCTCTGAAATATCACTTAAATATTATTTGTTCACAGCCTTTTAATGTTCTGTTTTTAACAATTGTGAACAAACTAAAATGTGACAACCCTTATATTATATTCAATAAACAACAATATTTACAAATGCAAAACATTCTTCAAAGATATAAGGCCTTGCCATCATTGTCTTCGGGTAAGATTACTTTTTTTTAATTTGTCATTAAATACTTTTTTATCCATTATGTTACTGTTTACGGGCAAACGAATATGAGCTTCACTTGTAGCTTTCAGGACAGAAATGAATTGGTGTATAAATAATTATGAAAAATGTATTTCAATAATTTTTTTTCTATGATTTAATTTAGACATCTTGGCCCGGAGAAACTGATTTAGAAAGTGTTTAATATTCAACAAACTTAAACTTAGATTTAGCGAAAGTGTTTCCATTATGAAAATGTGTCTAATTTATATTCTCTAATTAAAATTTAATCCAATATAATCGTTGTATTATTATATTGAACTATGTCAAATAATACATGTAATCGCGTACAAAACATACAATTATATTTATAATACCCTAATTCTATCACATAGCACTGGCAGCTTGAAACTATTTTCAACGAATTGTCAATAAATCAAAGAATACTTTATGGTTTTTGTACTTATACCAAAGACATTCAACACATTAGTAATAGTCGGGACTGAATTAACAAAATTGCAATTTCCATCCCCGACTGTCGTTAGATGTTTTATTACATTAACCATGAATGAATAAAAATCTATTGACGCCTTTCATTTTATCTACTTTCGATCTTACATAAACATATCATGTAAAAAAAATATGCTTGCACTATACATTGATTGAACAATTAAAAATGAAAACAATCTGCAGATTAAAAAAAAACCAAAATCGATACCCGTTTTTCGCCGAGTTTCATATAAATACTAATTTACGGATAGATTGTCAGTGTTTAATCGATTTAACAAATAATTTAATCGACTTTTGGAATCAATCCGCACTGATTTAAAAAAAAAGTGAAACAAACAAAACAAGTGCAACATTGCACTTCAATAAAGGATCCTATAATTTCCGAAAGTATGTTTACAATCTAACATCAGTGTTGACGGAGTTACTAGTTGGGATTTCGACTTCCTGTTGTTGCTTGTTGTCTTGTGCCGGTCTGTTCCACCACTGTTCGTCTCCTGACGCCCACGCAACGAACACCAGGTTGGTCAATATGAATACCGCCAGTGTTATCCAAAATACTAATCGCCATTGAACAAGGGTACTCTGCAAAAAGGGAATTCATCTTCAGTATCACGAAATCGACCATGTTAGACGAGGGTTACAGTTTCTGAAACTACATAGCTTGTGCGTATTTCCAGTGGGGGCAAGACATGGATTGCTCCAGTCAACCCTCGAGTATCTAAGTGTATCTTGAGAATAAATGAGATTTTTTAGGATTTAGGTACATCTACTAGTAAAACATTTTGCCACATAACAAAATAAATGACAATGGGAAAACGCAAAGAAGTATTGTAATTCGATACGCATTTGTTTTGCAGACCGTCATTTTATGTAGAATAATAAAGCAATTGGTCACTATTATCTTGTTGTGATCTTCTTTGTTATAATTTCTCAGAAAATACCGATTTTAGTTTAAAGGGACAAAGAACTGTTCATTGTTGCCTTATATTATTTTTTTTAATTATTGCACATTATGCGAATAAAGTTATAAAATAATTACAAAAGTTAATTGTTGGTTATTGACCTTGACTCGCTTCTTTCGTTTAATGTTATTTTTCATTTCATATTGTTATTTTATTTCGATTATAAGATTAATCACCGTGAAGTAAACGGTCTATCTAGTTCAGCATGCAATACTTTGTTGTGAAATAATTCAACTTTTCCGTAACAATTCATACTTATCTACTGAAGACAAATTTAGTATAGAATGACGATTTAATGCAAATCATCATAAGCTGTATATAATACTAGCTTTCACCCGCGACTCCGTTCGCGAAATTTCATCTAAATCATCTAAACTTTCGCATTTGTAATATTAAGTATGATTGTTTCTTTTACTTCTTATTTAATAAATTTAGTAAAAATAATTAACTGTTCTCCTGCATACGGATTAAATATAACTTACATCAGGTGTAAGTAATCCGACGAGATATGGCGCGATGATGCCAGTGATGGCGCCGATACCGTTGACTATCGCCATAATGGTTCCTGCGTAGTTACTGCTAAGGTCGAGTGCGTTCACTTTCATCCCAGGGTAGAACGCCCCCATGAGACCCATGGAAGCCGTGAACAGGATGACCACAGTCTCAGTGTTACAGCCGGAGTATGATGCCAGGATCATGCAGATGCCAGGACCTACGGAAGCTAAAAAATATTTTTGTTAAAGATCGATTGAGGTAATATAAGTACTGTATTTTAAATCTTAAATGTAAATATTGTATTTTCAATTTAAACTTTTAAATATTATAAGTCCAATATTGTATTGATTTTAAAATAAAGAAAACAAAGTCCTTGGATTCACCACGCCAGGGGGAGAACGACGAGGCGGCAAGAGACCGCCCTATAAAAAAATATAAGTATCCAGTGACATCATTTAAAAGTACATTCATCTTTGCATCGTCGAAGACAAGTTTCCTCATTGTCGTGATTTAGTCAATTATCCTAACCTTGCACGAATTGTTAGGAAAATCGTAAAACTACTACACAATAACATTGAACAAGGCCTAACTACGTCATCATGGTGTAATGGCACAGCATAGGTATTCAATCTCCGCATCGGATTAAGAAAATAAAATTATTATTACCAGACAAAACAATAACAAATGACGTTATGCTTTCGTAGAAGTATATACATCTTTACACAGGTGTAGAAAATGTAAATAGACGTCTATATTAAAAATTTGGAAACCGCTGATGTGTAAGGAACAACCTTTATTTTATAAAAGATGAAATTATATAGACTAAGACAAAATTGAGTTCCTGTTGAAATGTAATTAACCTTCAAAGGCAGGAAAACACCCGTTCATTAACCGATCCAAATACTAAGTGAAGGGAAAGGTACTGGTTACAGCACGAGATTTGTCGTGGCCCGTAGATGCATTGGGAAGGAATACTAATCGCTGACTATTCGAAAGCGTGTCGCGTGTCTAAGTCGGTTGCATAGCACCCGTTTGTTCCGGCAGTTCGGTTGCAGCGCGGCTACTACTGTCCTATATCAGACGATGTTACCATTTGTAATGCTTTTGACGTTGAGACAGACAGCTCAGTCATTGTAACACTATGGATGTAACCTCCCCAATGATATAACAGTATGCCTTATAGTTCAAGTCTCCTATGAGCAGATATCAACAACTCAGGTTATTGGCCTGATCCTGCCATTGTCTCGGTACTTATAAGAATAGTAAACCTAATTGTTGTTTTGTGTGGGGTATTTGAAATGCATGTTCAATATTTATTGTTCTATTCAGTCGTAGTTAAGGAGCAACGTAAAATTATGACGTCACTAACCGCCGAGGCGTATTGCACGAGATTCCAAGGCATTTCGCAATCGGATAAAATATATGCTATAACAGTAATTATATTAATTAAGCAAAACTGTATTTTATATTTTAAATAAAATGATAAACTGCTTAGAGGTACGAAGAGCTAGGAGACGAAAGTCCATAATTGCGAAATAAGATATCTAAATTAACTATGAGAGAGCTTTTTTTTAAATAAAAATAACCCGCTTGTATTACAATAAGTAAGGCACTGGGTGAAAGGATTTAATAGCGATAATATTACGGTTAACGAATGACTTATGAATATGCGTAGGTAATCGCAAAGCGCATGCAAAACACGGAAGTGCCTGATGTAAATATAAAATTAAAAATTTATTTACTTTGTTAACCATACACGTTTAACTGTTGCATAACAACGTCATTTGCAATTACAATTAAAATCTCGGAGAATAGCAGTGCA